ATTCAGAACTGGAATACTATATCCCATTCATAAAAAAGGATACAAGTTACTGTATGACAATTATAGAGGAATTACACTCTTGAACACTTTCTATAAAATTTTCTCATAAATATTATGTAACAGGTTGAGAAGTTATTATGAGGAGCAAATAGGAAAGTATCAAGCGGGATTTAGAAGTCAGAGATCCACAATCAAAAATGCTATCGCTACAAGTTAAACTTCTAATATACAAAACAATTATTCGTCCGGTAGTAACGTATGGCTGCGAAGCATGGACCCTGAATCAAATAGATGAAAATAATTTTAGAATATTTGAAAGAGAGGTATTAAGAAAAATATTTGGGTCCATAAATCTAGAAAACGTCGAATGTAGGAAAGGAACAAATGCTGAGCTTAACGAACTAATTAAAGGCGAAGATGTAATAAGTTTTAGTAAGTGACAGAGTTTAAAATGGACAGGTAGCGTAATTCGAATTAACGAACATAGACCACAAAGCCAAAATTCTGCAAACAAGACCAATTCTAAATAGACACAGTGGAAGACCCAGAAGACAATGGGAAGAAAATATTGAAAATGATGCTGCAAAACTAACAATCATAAAATGGAAAACAGTTGGAGGCAGATCGTGAAGAAGGCCAAAGTTCACCCCGAACTATAGAGCCGAAAGAAGAGGAGGAAGAGAAGAATTGTATAGGCTGTAATTATAAGAGGAGGAAGGGAAGAATTGTAGGCTATATGAAAATAAGGTGCTATACTGAATATAATGAAAGAAGTATTTAAACATAAACTAAATTAAAACTAAAACTCACTGTAAAATCCTAACTATTTTCTGTTAAACACATAACATAATAGGGGCTTTATACTTTTGTTTAAAATTTCAGGTCAACTCAATAGCCTTAAATTCTCTCCAGCATAGTCTATTCAAGAAGACTGAACCTGCTGTCTACTTGGTTTCGTTTAATCATGTTGGGAAGCAATGCCTCTCTCTCTCAACTAGCCAATTAATTGCATTTATTAAGGAATACTATAATTTAAATTATAATTAAAATTTTCACAAATTATAGAATATTTTCTAGTCATATTTGTACTTTTATGACTTCATTTTCATAATTAACACAATTTATAAATATGAACGCACTTAAAATGTACAAAAAAAAAAAAAAAGATTCCATTAAAATGCCTCTTTGAAATCGAATATCTTAAAGACCATCATATAAAACAACCTACCAATTAAATTGTATTATATGAAAAAAGATTCTCCCCTCTCTTCATTTACTTAAAATTCAAAACCGTCATCTAAACCCTTCAAAGAAAAAGGGAGAACTGCCTACATTATATTGAACGGTATCATGTAATATAAATGACCTAAAAGTGTGCCCAACTTGTGCTTTATAACGCAAACAAAGAAATAAACGAACTAGCCTACATACAATATAATATCACCGAATTGTTGAGATCCATTAAAAATGGTAACAAATATATTGTATAAGTGTGCTAATCTGTTCTTAAGTAATTTATTTATTTCTCTCTTTTTTTTTTAAGGATCTATACATAAGGATCATAAGAACGGTTTAAATATATGTTGTATATATATAGGAAGCGCATATGGATTTATATATATACTTGTTGTATATATATAGACAAATTATGGAATTTCTATACCGTATGTGTCCAATTTGAACCAAAATGTATAAGGAACCTTTTGAATGAGTAAATGAAAGTGTTTTATTTTAAATATTAATTTAACAACAGAATCCTTTTTTCAAGGAGTAATGAATACTTCGTTCTACATTAGATAGCATATGGACATTATTATTTACACACAATTTTACATAATATGAATGTGTATAGGGTGATTCTATGAAATGTGCACAATATTGAACTATTGGTTACAGAATTGAAATTAAGTAAAATTTTTAAGTAGTGATCGGAACAGGATACTAAAACAAATTCAATTTTCTAGATACAGTGGAGTCCGCTTATAGTCACACAAAAAATCTCATAAAAATGTGTGACTATAAGCATCATATGCCTATAAGAGTCAGTAGAAAAAAAAAATTTATAAATAAAACTCAAAACTTTATTTTTTTTTTATTTAATTTTAAATTAAGTACACAAATGTGACAGAAAAAAATATTTAAGTTACAAAATTTGCCGCTACAAATTCGACAACAAATATTGTAATTAAACTATTTGCCGTAAAGTAGGTAGTAAAACTACTTACCGCTTTAAAAAAAAAAAGGCGTTCAGAGTATGTGACTATAAGCGGCGGCAAATATATGAATTAAGTAATATGGTTCACAAAAAATACGATCCAATAACCGTATGTGACTATAAACGTTTGTGACTATAAACAAATGAAAATACATGAAAATATAATAAAAAAGTTGTTGACAACGAAATTGTTGACTGTAACCGAATTATGACTATAAACAGTAGTGACTATAAGCGGATTCCACTGTACACAGATTTGAAAGAAAAAATTTCAGTGTTGTTTAGATCTTCATGTTATTTAATGAAATATTTTGAAAGGGTTAACCAGAACTCAAAATTCTGACGCTTCTTAATTTTATGTTGTACTCATTTTACAAAAAAAATTGAAAGTTTTATGGTAGAAGAAGATGCAAATTAACTTTTCTCACGTCGAAATATGGCAAATTTTGTAATTCCAATCCTAAATTACATGAGTCCTATTCCAAGACACTTGATAAGCTTCAGTATTATACGCATTTTGAGATAATAACAGCATTTTAAGAACAACAAAAGACGTCAAAACCAATAGACGTCAAAACCAATAGACGTCAAAACCAATCATAAACCAAGTGGTTTGCCATTTCATTCCATTCTAGATAAAGCCACAATACATTTTAATATTTACTTTCCAACACTCACTATTTACTTTCCATTAAATCCGAAATGAAATTTTTAACAAGGATCTGAACAACAACACCTTCCCAAATAACTGTTGAGCGTTCATATCTACTTTTAAATATCAGTTTCACTTATTATCAATTATCTAATCAAATTATTAACCAAATCACCCTGTACAATTAAATTATACATAAGTATGTCGAACATAATCAATAATCATAAGATGGAATTCACAATGTAAGAATTGAATTGTGACTATATTAGGGTTAAAAACTATAAAAATTCTCTATTCTTCTTACAATTAATAAAATAAATTCTTATATCCTTATTATTATTATTATTTTGTTTTTGTTAATTCATTGTCCTTAATTCATACATTATAAATATTGTAATATACACATATATATGAATATACCTATAAGTGTGTATTAATAAAATATGTAGGAGACTAGAACAATAAACACAATACAATATAGAGAGTATAAAAGCAGATGGTCGCTGATTTTGTGGACGTATAGGAGGTATATATATAGAAGGCGACAACAATAAGAAGAAGAGAACAAAAAAAAAAATATTCCCTAACAATTTAAAGTCTTTTGCCCTTTTCCCTTTCACTTTTTTTTTTGTTTTTTCTATATTATCCAATCTTATGTGTTATTCTCATGTTTTCTTATTTTTTTTTATTTTTCAAGTTGATGATATAAAAATTTGATCCTTTTCATTTTTTTTTTTGTTTTTCTTCTGTTTGTTATCAACACGTCGTAACATATGTACATTGTATATCTTTAAAATATTACATTACCTCTCAAAATAGTAAAGATAGAACAGTTGTTTACATACACACACATATATACAGAAAGTAGTTGTGACAAAAATATTATCTTAAAAGCATCCTTTTATAATACACAACAATATTGTGTTATACGTCTACTTATATACCAAACCATTTGTATTTAAAGAACAAGCTGATCACACTTTAGGCAACATGCTAGATGTAAGTTGAATATCCAAGAATAATAAAAATAGAATAGGAAAAAAACAAGTTATAAGAAACTATTTTTACACATTATTACCACACATTTTGTATCCCTTTAAAAAAAAAAAGGATAATCAAGAGTAGTTACATAATATCGGAATTGAAATGAAAAGTGAAAAACTAAAAGTAAAAATCCTTCAGTAATAATCTAGAAATTGAAGTAAAATATCCTTCTTGATTTTTTTTTGGAATATTTGGTTGGGGTTTAAATGATGATCTAATCCTAATAATCATTTAACTCTTTCGTTTCTTTTTTTTTTCCTATTTTGTCACCCTTTTCCTTATTATTTTTTTTTACCTTTCTATATAAATGTACAAGTATAGGGTTAAAGGGTCCTAAATAGCCTAATTTAAATGGAAAAAAAAAGTATTTTTGTGATTGAAATTTTTTATTTTATATTCTTCTTACCTTACCTTTACCAATATTCTAATACTTTAAAAATTAAATTAAATCCTTATTTAAAGAAGAAAAGAAAAAGGATCATTTCTCAAGATCTTATTTTGTCATTTTAAATAATAAATATTTATTTTGCATTATTACACACTTCAGATTTACTTCTTCTTCTTCTATATAATCTTAAGTAAAATAGTTTTTGAAATGTTTATTAATTTAGTTAGAAAAAGGGAAACGTTACATGTAAAGAATGATGGGAAATTAATGTAATAAAAATAAATATCATTTTTTAGCAATAACATCCAAATATGCTTAAAAAAAATGTTGACAAATATGAAGGTATAAATAGGGTTTATAGAATATGAGTGGGTATACAAAGGAATGGGTTAAGACGTGAGCCGTATGTAACCACATATGATAAATAAAAAAAGAGAAATACAAGGATTTAATTGGATTTTAATTGAAATTTCAAATAAAAGTGAATATTTTACCCCACCCAATTAATTGATTAACAAAAATTGAAGATAAGACAAAAAAAAATTTAATGCAGTTGAGGGTTAAAACTATGGCATATTAATTATTAGAGTTCTAATACACAATTATTGACAATATAAAAGATTAGATTTGGTAATTTTAAATATTTTTTTGAAAGTTGATGAATAATTAAAATTTGAGTATAATTTAACTTTAATACTTACCACTTGAATGAGGTGGTGATGGTGATCTCGATAAACGACTACGACTTATATCTGAAAATATAAATAAAAAGAAAAACGAATAATTTTTAATAATTTCTTTCAAATTCTTAATGTAAGGTTTAGAAAAAAAATTTATCAAAAAATTTAGTTCTAGCAGAAGAATTTAATCCTTCTTACATTTTGCACTAGAATAGTAGTCGGGAAACATGAATTTCATGGATGGTTTTCAAAAAATTTTCATAGCTAGAAAACGCAGTTAAATACACATGTAAAGTTATAATGTGTCACTCATCCGATATCCAAACCAACTTTAACACTAGTTTTTCTTGTAGAATAATTCGCGGAATTCTTCTCCTCCTAAAAGGAGCTCCTGGCATACCTCGAAATAATTCGTAAATATTGCCGTATCATGCATTATTAAAAGAGCCGGTTCCCGTTTTTCAATTTTTAAACGGCATGTTTCGGGAGACGCCCAGCAGAAACTTAAGAGAGCAAACACTTTGACAAACACGCCAATTGAATTTTTTGCACTATAAATTAATAAATTCTTCCGAACCATCTCTTCCACTGCAAGATCGCAACAACGCGTAATTTGTAAGCTAATTTTTATAATTTCTCAATTTTCATCGGCATTGTTAAGCAAAAATTAAACGAGTTTTGTTTTTATTTTATTTTTTTACTTTAGGTCATAAATTACATTGCATGTTGAAGAAAATTTTCTAAATATACTCAAATTTTTAATATTCTCAACTTTGTATCCAAATTATATACGAGTTTTTAACAAAAAAATAAAGGATATCTTTTTAATGTATGATGGCCTTTTAAATATGGTATGATGATTTTTATAGCATTATTTTTAATGTTCCATGTAAAACTGACCACCTGGCCATACATATATACATTTCCTCATCACAAAATATCCATATATATGTAAACATAATTCAATAGGAAGAAGATGAAGGATGAAATGTTTTATGTGTATGTTTTAAATTTGTTTTACAAAAGTACCGTATAAAAAAACATTCAAATGCATGGAATAAGCATGGGAATATAAAAAGTTATTTTGTTGCATAAGCTCTTAGAAAAAACAAAGTATGTATGCGAGGGTGATTCCAATGTTGGCAAAGTATGTATCCTGTTGGCGAATTTCTCAGTATTAAATTTGGAAGCCACTGATTTAAATAATTAGTTTAAATCAGTGGTTTCCAACAAAATTTATTCTTCCATCCCTCTTTTCGAAGAGAAGACTACTCACCTTGCGCAAACTATGCTCAGGGAAACATGTAAATGAAGTTATAACAACTGAATATTTCGAGAGAATGTTTCGGAAACGGCCGGAAAACTTATCCCAGAATAAATGGCGAACTTCCAATAATTTTCAAATCAATACTGGTGGAATCATATTAGGTTGGAGAAAAACACGGCAGCATTTTAGTTGGACAAAATACAGTTAAAATCATATCTCTTGCATAAGAGAGGCGCCACCAATGATTTAATTAATTTGCTGGTGGGGCACCAGCATATATTCAACATTTTTTTGTATATTTATCAATAAACGCCCCCGCGTATATCTCTTTCATTGTCGTCACTATAAAAGATAATTCGGTCCCGGACTGGAATCACTCAATTCTTAAACTACAACTAAAGTTGATATTATGCGAATGCAAATAGTTTCCAATAATTTCCTTATTCAAAGTAACAACAAAGTTTCCTTTACATTCGTCCAATAATTTATTATAGAACGTAAAAATTTTCCATTTTATTATTAGACAGACATTTTCTTTTTTTTTAAATATTCTTAAAATAGCAAATAAATAAGTTAATCTTCCAGAATGTATGCATGTAGTTATATAAAATGTATGTTACGTTTAAGTTATTTTTAATCTTATATGGATAGCTAATAAACAAAATATGTGGGTGCAGTCCAAATAAGTAACAAAAATAAATTTCCACATAATTTTACTACAATTTAATATAAAAGTAAATATTTAAATACAATGTTATTGTAAATCTGTGTCTATATACATATAGTGTGTGTGCATTCGAAAATATGTGATATATTTATCGACATAAAAACTTAGTCTGTAGACGTCCAATGATTCTTAAAATCATTGAAACTATTCTTGGATATTACAGGAGGAAGAAATTTGTTTTTTCCTAAAATAATTACAAGAATAAAAAAAAATAAGAAAATAATGGAGAAATTAAAGGATATATGGAACGGTGGTATATAAAGGACATAAATAATAGCATAAATAAGTTTTCATCAGAAATTTATATGGTCAACTGCGGCAGTATCTGTACGGAATGATCCAGTAGCTATATTTCAGTATAGCTATAGAAATGGAATAGAAAAGAAATTTATATTGTTGTACATTGAAATTAAGTTTTTTGAAAGATCTTTGCTTTACTTGCGCTATTATAAATACTAGTACATTTATGGGTGTTTACGAGGACATCATTAGAATTATTGCGATATAATGTAACAGAATAACATCCTTGATAAATATTAATTTGATTTTGTTATATTTTAAATGCTTATTCCGGAGCATGCTCCTAAATGATTTACATTGTGTGGCATATTCTGATTCATTGAATATTTTCATAATGTAAACTGAAATCAAAAATTGTATATAATTTATTGAAAACTTGAGAGGCTTCAACATAGCCTTTCCAATTTTCTCTGTTTTTTGCCAATCTCTTTATTTGATCCCATATTTAGGGATATTTCACCTGCAGGTTTCTTTTCGGACTTCCTACATGTCTTCATCAATGCGGATCCAGCATAAAGTGTGGTCGATATTACAAACCCGTTTTAGAATGTAGCATGAATTTCAATTTTCTTCAACTTATTTTCTTCAACTTATTCTATTTGGATCCTGATTCGTCTTCACCTACAACTCATAATTGTATGATCCTTCTTGGCCAGAATATTCTACAAAATATGATTTTCAGTCATTTGTTAACGAAGACTTGTATCTTTTGTATATTAAGTTCTGAAAATCAACCATGTCTCACTTCCGTAAAGGTGGTCCTGCTTAACACATGAGACTATTGAAAACTTTGTTATCTTACAAAATGTTTAAATAGAAAATTAAAATTCCCGGGAAAAAAAATGTCCACTTGTGTTATCATTGAACTGTGAATTTTGCAGCATCTTTTGTTTTAAAATTTATTAACAAACACCGATTGCGGAAGATGAATGTATTTACTCTAATTCATGATCTATATACTACAATCTACAATATATCCGATTCATTCCTTATTCTTAACCATATAGAATTGTTCTCAATTAAATTTTTGATGAAAATATAGTTTAAATTATATGATGAAATTAAAATGGAGATGATTGACTAGCGTACCATTGATTGATTTGATACTGGAAAAAAAAAATCGATATTTCTACATCTCTGATGTGGTATTTGTGGATGGTCAATGATTTCTTATTTTTTGTTTTTTGCTTTTGGGTCTAAGAATTCAAAATATTCACTTTTTTTTTCCTTGTTGGTGAATATTATAGTTGAATGAATGGCAGGATATGCGTGATCCTTTTACTTATATTTAAGGATTATTTATTTATTTTTTTTTTGTTTTGATTTTCGAAATTTGTTTTTTCCTTTCTTTCAGCGTATTTTTTTTTTTTTTTCATTTATTCATTTATTTCTCCATTTCATTTCATACACATGTTAGAGATGTGTGTAATTATTTATATAACATATATATATGTATATATATATGTTGGATATATGTATACTGTAGTTGTAAATTTTTTTTTTATTTTTGTTTGGGTTCATTAAAGATGAAAATGAAAGTCAAGGAGGATTTTTCTACACATAACATCAATAAAACTCGATAGATCTATGTATACCCCAACTATTCTCTCTATATATTATAAATATATAATTTTGTTATTTCATATTTATAAAGAATCATATAAGGATAAACACATTGTACATACACACACATATTATATGTATATACACAATATACTAGGTTCTCTACACAGGATACAGACGGCCAAGTCGAAAAATAATTAGATATAAATAGACTTATGTAGATATATAATTATATTTACACCCAGTGTTATTTATATTATTGTATATATATCAAAAAAAATATTGTGGGTTTAACGAACCTTTTCTTATTAAGTGCGAATTAGTTAGTCGCTTTTTTTATATTAATACATACAATATATATATAAATATATCTGTGTGTGTATAATAATTTGTATATGTAGCCATTGTAGGAGTAAAAATGAAATGAAATTATAAACAATATTGTTAATTATGTGGGACGGATGCTAAAGGAAAATATTGTAAGGTCATATGAAAATAAACGTATGTAATTATATGATGTCATATAAGTAAGTATATATGTAGAGAAATTAGCCAAAAATTGATATATATAAATAAATTATTCGCCTTATATATTCAATGACCTTGAGATAAAAATATTTTATATAGAATTTATGCTCACATACTATGGAAGAATTTTGGTATATAACTTTTGTTATTTTCCTTCTGTTTCGGCTATTATTATTTATTATAACTGTTATACAACTAATATTAGACATTAAGATTAAGGTGTCCATTTGATTAAATTTGATTTAGAAAACAATGACTTAAGATTTTGTCAATAAATAATTTTTGTTTGGAATTTATTTTATTTGTTTTGTTCGTTTTAATTTTAGAACTTCTCATTATTTGATCACATTTATAACAATTCTAAATTTATATATTTTATGGAAAACTTTCTATTAGATATGGTACATACTGAATATTGTGGTACTGAAAGAATAATAGGAATTAAAAGGTTTTTTCCCCATAAAGGCTGTTATGCAAATCATGAATGTACTTCGATTAAAATTAATTTTCCAAGACAGCATTTTCCATAAAAAAACAATTGTAATAAAAATTTTCGAGGAAAATTTGTTGATACACCATGGATTAACAACAAACACAAGAAAGCAACGGCAGCACCAATAGAGTAAATCAGGGCCCAGCAAGCAAAAAAGAAATAATTGATGCTATTCACAAATTGAAAAACAACAA